CCCCAAAACCCCAAAACCCCAAAACCCCTTAATTACAAAAATAATTGATGGATTTATCTAAATTAAGTTTGTAAATATAAATAAATAAGTTTTTTACATTAATAACATATATAATGAGATATAATGAGATTTATAATTTAAGTCATAATAAATATGAAGAAAAAATAATATATTTACTAGAGAGTTTTACTCATTTTATTTCTGTAATTAGTTTTAATACAAACTCTCAGTTGTCCTTTGGGTTTCTATTAAAATGCTTAGACCCAAACATGCATCTGTAAGATATAATTTATTAATATTTTAGAATGTGATAAATCTTGTGCAAGTTGCAATTGAAGTAATGAATGTTAAACTTGCAGAGAATAAATGTTTCAGGACAATTATACCAATCTGTGCAAGTATTGTGATGATGGTTTCTATATCCAAGATAATAAATGTCAAAGTATTTCAATACCTTTTTTAACCATAGAAGAATGTAGCTCTGGTTGTGGAATGGGATAATGCCTCCAAAATAGTACCTGCTTAATTTGTCCAAATAATTACATACTAGATATTATCAATCTTAAATGCATCGCTAGTTGTAACATGATTGATGAATATCCTTGATCAATATCTTATAACACTGTATAACTTCGTTACTGCAGAGGTAAAATAGCTAGTAAAATGAATTTAACATTTAGGAAATAAAATATATGTTGACTCTGAATCTTAGAAATATTTAGAATTAGGAACAAATTCATATCCATATAAGGATCTACAAAAAGCTCTCATTGAGATATCAAATATTTAGACAAGTTAAAATAACAAATTTTAGATTTTAATTAGAGAAGGAACTAATGTGTATTTTAATACTAATAATCAAATACACACAATAGATTCACTCGATTTAATCATCAGGTAGGTCAATACACTAAACATAATGTTTTTATTAGGACTTATAAGCATGGGGATGAAAAAGATTAAGGGACGAAATCAAATTTATATGTAACTTCCAGATCAAGTACCAAATAAATATTCCTAAGTTAATACTCCCTAATAACTAATTTAAGCTATCATTATCTCTCCAATGAAAGTAGTTAGGATAGACTTAGCAAATCAGAGTTTTAAAAAATCTCAAATATTCAGAAATCTGCACTTTTAGTAATCAGATCAAATCTTACTATCAGTAATCTAAGAGTATTAAGTAAAAATTAAAACATTTAATAACTTTATTAGATGATCAAGATTAAATTAATGAAAATTTTCTTTTTATTTTTGCATGGGATATTTAGCACAATAAAATAGCATTAAAAGTAAAATTAAAATATAACATTTTCATACGTTTAGGATATTGAGTTCATAATTTACGGGAGCATTTTCTAGACATTAAGTCCACTAAATTTTGAAATGATAAATTCTACTATCTAAACTGATTGGATTAAATAAGGTATAAAGATTATAGCAGAATGTAGCCTATTAGAAAATAATGCAAACTTCGGTGACATTACACTTAGGAATGTAACACTTTATGGAGAGAAATATTTGACTATCTCAGAACCAATGATTTTCATAAATAGTATCAACAACATCACAGTAGATTAGTGTAGCTTTAAATCTTACACTAAGCTGGGAGATCCTAATCTGCATCAAGTTTTAATCGATTCAGTTGACAGTTGTATGGTTACTGATATAAATGATAAAAGAATAAGATATCTAAACTACACTAATAATTATTAAACAACCGAAACTAAAGACTGGCAAGATTCGGTTTCTCTAGTTTCTATTTAAATTGGTAGAGGAGGTGACTAGGTTAGGAAAATTGTTGAAATAATTGAAAACATAACTGTTGAGAATGCTCATTCTCATAGAGACTTTGTGAAAATTGGATCATTTTTACCAAGTCTTACTTTAAAGAATTTTTTCTTTAAAAATGCGGTATTACACTATCAGCCTACTTATGGAGTTAATGCTACTCTAAATGGCGATCTTTATGTTAAAAGTAATTTTGATAATTTTTAGCATTAATATTTTAGATTTTACATATATTGATTCAGAATGCTATGGGAGAAATCTTTATTTGTTTTTTAAACCTACAAATACTTATGTAGATGGCTTATTCATAAGAAACAATACAAGTAACATTATACTATTTATTTTATTTCTTAGTGGATCCATCATAAAATTCCCAAACAATAATTAAGCATTCAACAGCTCCTTTCAACGCTACCTCATATTTTATAAACATTTATTTTGAAAATAACACACTTTTCCAAAATAATGCGTTTTAAGTAGACAGATTGTTTCAAATATTCTCTATTGTTAACTCTTCCTTTGTGAATGAAAGTAAGATTATTCTCAATAACTATTACTTAGAGGTTGATTCAAATTGTATTTATTTAGGGGTATTCAAAACTTAAAGAATTGTCTTTGAGAATGTGATTGTCAAAAATATTCATTATGCTTATTAATTAAAGGTCATGAGCTATTTCTTAAGGATAGATGTGCTTGAACTTTATGAGAACTCTTTAAATTCTACAATCACTAATTTGAGTTATGTTGATAATTCAATTAACTTCATTAGGTTTAAAGGTTATCAACTAGCAGGAATTAGAACCCCTATTAATTATCAGTTTAAGTTTGAAAATATGAAGATTCAAGACAATCAAATGGAAGATGGAATGAGTATCTTTGAATTTGATTCTTATGTGAACACTTTGAATCTTAGAATAGTTATATCCAAAGCAATCTTCAGAAATAATACTTTTAAGTCAAATGGAAATTTAATTCTCGCCACTTGTAATGATCAATCTCCAATCTTAATTCAGGAATCTAAATTTATTGAAAATATTAGAGCTCAGATTTTGCTTTAGGCAACAGATAAAGAATATGTTAAATTACCTTTGTAGTTAATGATAGTTGCATCTGAATTTATTAGAAATCAGCCGATTGTTGATGCTATGATTAAACTTAAAACAAACTCTAAATTATTTGTCTATGATTCTTATTTTAAGGAAAACTATTCTAATTCTAGAGGCAGTGTGATCTTTGGAGATTTTGAAAATACAGAGAGTTTTATCCACAATTCAACTTTTGTCAATAACTTTGCATAGACTGGAGGAGTATTTTACTCTTGGTACAATAGTAGTATAATATTCGAGCATTGCAAATTTTATCAAAACTTCGCAAATAAAGGAGGCATTGGATATATCAAAGACAAAGCCACAATTAAAATAAAAAACTCAATTATTAAATAGAACTATGCCTAATACTCAAATATTTTTTTGTTGGAAAATTCTTTTGAAGATACTTCAATAATTCAAGATACATTAATTTAGGAAAATTAATCTAAAAAAATTACTGATTTTTTGAAAAATTTCTCTTCATTTTAATACTTAATGGCAATCATCAATGAGATTGGTGACTAAGAGTAGAGCAATAGTTTTGACATTAGAAATGGATTATTAACTCTATTGAATTGTTAGGTAATAAGACATAGCTAGTTATTTAGCGTTTATTAGTCAACAATTACAATTATTAATAGCTTCATCGGTAATAATACTCTTAAATAGAATGATAATTACTTCTTTTCAGCCACATAAGCTGTGATAAATATAAACAATTCAAACTTTGAATAATTTGCTTATCAAGATGCTTTAAAGAATACCTTGCCTCTATTTCAACTTGCTCTTAATACAGAACTTTATATTTTAAGGACCAACTTTTCCCAAATAGATATAAACATCATTGAAATGACTTATTCTACCCTCTAAATGTAGTTAGTATCAATATTTAACAGCACTATTGAGTCTAAGCAAGTATTATTTTATGTTGATGCTAGTACAATAAAACTCAATCAAATTAACTTTTACAAGAATAGCATTAAAAGCTTGTTCATTTTCAAAATATTAAGATCAGAATCTATCTCTTTTGAAGGTTGTAACTTTCTTGATATTGAGACATAGTTGATAAGCATTTAAAAATCAAAATTAAATATTACAAATTCGAGCTTCATAGCAATTGATGTAATTGAATAAAGTAGACTATAATTTTAATAAGAAACAAGGACGATTGATTCTTTGAATACTGATATCATGATTAATAAATCTTAATTTCATAACTAAGTTTCTAATTAAAGAGGTGGCTCAATTAGATCTTTGAAAGGTAACCTTATTATATAAGATTCAGAATATATGTATAATCAAGCATAAATAGGAGGTTCTATAGAATTATCTTGCTCTAGATGTAAATTTAAACATAATATTTTAATATTTTAGACATGACTTGTAACTATAAGATTTTGAATTCAACATTTTCAAAAAATTAAGCTTTGATTTAAGGAGGTGTGATAAATTATAACAAATAAAGACCAGATAATCTAGATTCTAATATTTTTATCAATAATTATGCACCCTACGGTCCAAATATTTCAAGTTTTGCAATTAGTATTAGATTAAATTAAAGTCTTTATTAAAATGTGGCAAGTGGCTAGGACTTCAACTAATCTATTGAAGCAGAATTAGTAGATTTTGATGATCAAGTGATGATTGTAGATTAACTTTCGTAAGAATTAAATTTCGATTTATACATTTAGTACATTGATAATTTCAGAGATTGACGGCTTAGTTCAAGGTTAAAGAGTAGTCAAAGTTACGAATGGAAAGACTGTATTTAATAGTCTCACATTTATCGGTAAGCCAGGATAGAATGGAGTTAAATTTAAGATTTATTCTCCGAATATAATTGAAAGCTACATCAGCTAAATACTTTAAAAAGAGACTAAATTAGTTCAAATTAATTAAGCTATAGTCTACATTGACTTCAGGATGTGCTTGATAGGAGAATATGAATTAAATAATTAGTAAGTGAAAGTTATCAAATAAAAAATATTATAGATGCATTATCTGCGAACATGGCTACTTCTCTTTGATTTAAGGGTCCTATGAGTGCAAAGAATGCCCAGATAATGCTGAATGCCCTGGAGGATCAAGAATAATAGTAGAGAGTGGGTTCTGGAGATCATCTAATTAATCTTCAACAATATTATAATGCTTGAATAAAAAAGCATGTAAGGGTGGTGAATATTAATAATAAGATGATAGCAATCTTTGTAAAACTGGTCATGGAGGAAATCTATGCGAAAGATGTCTTGATATTAATGGGACTAGATAAACTAAGTCTTTTTCAAATGACTGCGAACCCTGCCCAAAAATCCATGTAAATGCATTACTCTTGACAGCTATAAGCATTGGAATTCTGATCTATTTGGGTTTGCTAATATCCTTAAATCTTAGAGTTTCCTAGACTAATAGCAAGGATAGATCAACAGTCCTTAAGATCTTAACAAATTTTATCTAAATGCTCACTATAACTCTCTCATTAAAGTTGGATTGGCCTGTGACGATGCAAGATTTTCATGATGTTATTGCTCAAATTGGTTAATCTTAAGATTCTATTGTATCAGTTGATTGTTTCCTTTCAGAGGCATTACCTTCAAATGCTGGCCGCTCTCATATTTACTTGAAAACAATTATTGTTGGTTTAATGCCATTAATGATATTTGTGATGATTCTTGTAGTAATGATACTTTTCATTATTTTCTAAAAAAGGAAATTCGAAATTTTAAAAAAGTGGCTTATAGTCTAAGCTCTGATTATAATTTATTTTTTACATCCTACAATATCGAAATATATTGTGGGGATATTTTTTTGTACTGAACTTGATAAAGGATAATATTGGCTTTTGTCTGATGTTTAAGTAGAATGTTGGAATGACGAGCATATTAAGTTTTGTATTACTATTGGTCTCCCATTCTTCTTCATTTGGGTTTTAGGATATCCTGTTTTTATCTTTATACATTTAAACAGAAATCGAAAAAACATTGATGATCCTAATTTTTAGGCTAAGTATAGATTTATTTACAGAGGCTTAAAGAAAAATGTATTCTATTGGGAGATTTTAAACATTTCAAGGAAACTCTTTATTGTAATAGTGAATGTTGTACTCTAAAAATCAATTAATCTATTCAAGGCAATGCTTATTCTATTGGTCCTTGTTTCATTCTTAAGAATTCAAATGAGATACGAGCCATATAGAGTTTCAATTTTAAATGAACTTGAGAGGAGAGAGATTTAAACTAATATTTTCATCTATTTCAGTGCTTTATTATTCACATAAGTAGAGATTAATGATATTACTAAGAACATATTATTCATCATTATAATAATATTGGTGTCTTAATTTTTGCTTTTGTGGCTTTACTGTATGATAAGTCAATCAAGCAATGCGTATCTTACAAAAATATCTCGATTAATACAGCCTTTCACATTAGTTAATAAAGAAAAAGACATATAAAAGTATTGGAATTAATAAGATTACAAGGACACATAAGATTGTGATGAATTAATGAATTTACCTCTTGCACTTTAGGATGATATTTTTACCAGTAATAGGACAACTCTAAGAAACAAAACTATCAGCTAGTCTGAAAACAATGTCTTGAGAAATATAAATGGCATTAAATATTAAAAAAAGCAATCAGTAATCCCTGAGAGAAAAGTATCTGGTAACTCTAGGAGAAAATTACTCAAATCCAATAGGAAAATTAACTTCTCTTCAATAGATAATCAATAATTCAATATAAACAGCCTGTTGGATTAGTAGATTTCAGCATATAAGTTATAATAATAACAATCATCAACAAAAGCTTCAACAATGAAAAAGTCAAGTACTAATATATTTAAAAACGAATTTAAGATATATTAACTTTAGAGTCAAATTCTAGAGCAGAATGATTAACCAAATCATTTTCAAGAAGATTAGATAGTCCAAAATAATATTCCATAGAAGAAAGTTTAAAATAAAAAAAGAACCATGATTGATAAAAAATAAAAATAAAAAATTGAAGTCCCCATTGAAAAATCTGAGTATATATAAAGTTCAATTAAAAAATAAGACAATAAATAACTAAGTCCTTAAAGGAATTTAGATGAATCAAAAAGATTATTTAATGTAAAACTGCCCCCTTTAAATGACAATATATTAAATAAAAGAACTTAGCAAAACCATTATAATATAGTTAAGAATAAAATAACAAATTAAGTCAAATGAATCACTCATTTCATTAACTTACTAAACAATCAATCCTCATTAAATAAATTGAATTTGATTAAATAGTAGAGATAACCTTTAGATTTATAAACAATTATTTATTATTTATGATTGAATAATCTATATTTATTAATTTCATTGATTTCAATGCATTCTCTAATTTTATTCAAACGGGGTTTTGGGGTTTTGGGGTTTT